TGGATAATTGGATCTTCGATGGATCAAAATCTTGTGGGCTTTGGACCCAAAATAAACAAACGAAGTCAGGTCCATACCATAACCATTACATTCCGCTTTCACCCTCGTGGCTTGGCGCCCCGTCGGTCTCCAGTTCACTCCTCATTTCTTCCAAAATGGAGATTTCCCTCTGTCGACTGCTGGTGTCCATAACTTTCCGGTCCTCCTGCCGACACCTAACTTTCATCGCCGTTCTTAGTCGATTTCTTGAGGATCAACGATCGTAATGGGTCCAATTCAGAAAAGCCGCAATTTCAATATGCTGCTCTTTTCACTGGAACCGGCTGCGAATTGCTGTTACTTGGCCGGCGTAACCTGCGGCAACCGGGACCCAATTATTGGACGTTGAAGGTAGTGAGTAGCGGATATCAGTTGAATGGAAATCGAAAACTCAAGCGATTCGTGTGATCTTTCATCATCTTCAGAGCGTCAATTTAAAGCTATGTGGCCTGGTACGAATTTCAAGTTATTTGTTTCTTGATCTTATTTCAATTTGTAAAATTAAATATGTTAAAGAATACTAGTTCCTATTTTATTCTTCTATTTGGATTATTCTTAAATTTTACCTTTTTTTTTAAATAATTTCTCGTTCTTATTTTGGTTCAGAGAATATAACTGCTGGAGTTAGGTTGAGTCCTGGTGGCCTTTATAGTATTAAGAGCTATTGAAGGAGGAATAGAAAAGAGAACGGAAGTCAAGTTCATAATTTTCTTGAAAGCATATATCGAAGAATAAATTGATTAATTATAGTCAAAATTACAAGCTTAAATACTGAGAAGTAGTTAAATTAGAAACTGGGACAGGGCAATAAAGCTTTAGAATTGTTTGATTATGAAACTGCAGTAAAGCTTTGTAAATTGAATGTTACTTTCAACGCAGAAATTTGATGGAGCCTCAAATGGATACATTTGAAACTTCCTCCTCCTTTCATGTTTAGTCATTGAAGACTTTTAGCAAAGTAGTGTCGGGGCCAACGCTCACTCCCGTTTGGCTGGTTCTACATATTCTAAACGTAGCAGTAGTTAAATTAACAAGGCAAACGAGCATGGGAATGGGATGGCTAATCTCAAATCTCTTTCAGTGATCTGTTTGGTTGGAAACAATCTGTTTGCTTCAATACCAGAATTCTTCGTGGAACTAAGGAACTTGGATTCTCTACAGCTTGCTACCACTAATTTGCAAGGAGAAGTTTCAGAGAAGATCTTCCAGGTACTTACACTAAAGACTTGACTTACTGATCAACCCATTTCTTGAAGGATCAATAAGTTTCATGGGCTAATTAGTTGCCTAGATGACAATTCTTCCTGGCCACTGCTTCAAATTATCGATCTTGCTTCCAATCAGTGTAAGGAAGAACTGCCTTATCATTGGTTAAGAACCTGGAAGGCAATGATGGTTGCTTCGGATGAGCTCAAAGTCCTTGTTTTGGAGGAAGATGTTCATTTTGAACTTGATCATAACAATAGAATCTCTAAAAGATGTTATGGTAATTCTTTCACAAGAAATACCCAAATCTGCAAGGATTCTGAAGGATGTTATGGTAACTTTGCCACAAGAGATACCCAAATTTGCAAGGATAGTATTGTGTATACTACTTTGAGGAGAGATGTGGAGAGAGGTAACAATATTTTCTCCCAAGGAATCTATTATCAATATGCAGTGACAATTAACATTAAAGGTTCTGAGAGATGGTTGGTGAAAATCTTAAGTCTCTTCACATCTGTCTACTTTTCATGCAACAAGTTTGAAGAGCAGATGCCAAAGGTTTTGGGGGAGTTCAGGGCACTCTATCCCTTCAACTTGTCACATAATTGTTTCATAAGTCTAATCCCTTCATCCCTAGGAAACCTACAAAATCTTAAATCTTTGGACCTTTCTAATAACAACCTGAGTGGTGAAATTCCTCAGCAGCTGGGAGATCTTAATTTTCTTGCAGTCCTTAACCTCTCATGCAATCAACTTGAATGAAGAATCCCAAGTGGAGGACAGCTTCAAACATTTTTAGAAGATTCCTTTAAAGATAACAAAGGATTATGTGGGATGCCCCTGAAGGAAAATTGCAGTGTTAATGTATTGCAACCATCCAAAGACAAACATTCAAATGATGGAACTCATATTGATTGGAATTTCCTAAGCGTTGAATTGGGATTTGTTTTTGGCTTAGGAATTGTCATTCTACCACTTATGTTATGCAAGAGATGGAGGGTGTGGTATTGCAAACATACTAATGGTTTTCTTTACCGGTTCTTCCCTCGATTGAATTAAAAAATCAGAAATTGTGGAAGGAGAGCTCCTAAGAGTACCAAAACACAGTTGAGGAACAAGCAACGGTGAGGGGCATTGCAAGCACGGTTCTTGAAACTTTAGTCTATGTGTTTTATGCCTACTTCTTTTCAATATCAAACTTGTACTTGTTGCAAAGTGGCATGTGATTTATGTTTTGCTTTGTATTGATGTGTTGTATGTTGTAATTATTTTATCAGTAGTACATGTGTTATTGTCAATTTTAATTTTGCTTTGTATCTTTCTCTAATGATCTAAGTTCTTTTGATTTAGGAAGTGTCTTTTAACTCCCTAACTAAACTTTAGGGACCTAAACTATAAGAAGATATTACCTTTGAGGATTTCCCCCTGTGAGGTTTCTCTTCACCTAAGCTACTACCTACCCTATCTTTTCAAAACCCTTGTATAATTAACCACATCATCTAAAGTTCTAATATAACATATAATAAAATTTAATATAATTTCAAATATACTCTCCAATAATTATTTCATTATTATCAAAAATTAAAATTGACAATAACACACTATTGATAAAATAATTTCAAATACTAAAATAGTTTTTAACAGCAAGATAGATGCTTAGTTACACACATAATAATACAATACATTAAAGTGAAGAGAAACACTTTCTCTCTTCATGGGAAAATCCCCAAAGGTAATATTTTTTTACGATTTAGGTTTTCAAAACTTAGTCTGAAAATTAAAAAACACTTCTTAAAACGAAAGAACTTAGATCTAGGAAATTCTTTATTCGGCTTGGACTTGTTCCATGTTGGAAACAGGTTGTCTTCAAGTCCTCTGCAGGTTTAAGCTCGATCTTGGCTAAGCTTGTCTATCCAAACCCAAGATTCATTTGTTGATGTCCCATTTAAAATTATTTTTAAAATAAATGAAAAGTTAAGTTTTTATGATTGAAAATGAGGGTCAATACTCATCTAAATTATAAAATACTACAAGTCACTTAAAATTGAGGTCTAAGAATACGAGTAAAAGTGAAAAAGAGTATACAAACAACTCACAATCTTTTGTGTAGAATATTGTTACATATTTTAAAATTTGAGAATTGATTTCAACTTATAAATATCTTTTAAGTTTTTTTTTTTTTTGAAGAGCAATAAATATCTTTTAAGTTAATGGCCTTAAATTGAACAAACCAAACATGTATGGGTATAATCCTTTCATCTATAAGAAACTTGAGTTTGATTCTTACTTTTAGTTCGAGTTGAATTTAACTTAACTCGAGTTTAAGTTAAGTAATTCACAAGCACTTTAACTCATTTATAGTTTTAGTCTCAAATCTTGCACATTAATCCATTTTATTGATAAAATACAATCATATATAATCAACCTAGTAGATTGAAAAATTCATTCGTAAGGACGTGGCACAAAAATAATTCTCTGATATCGTTTTGCCATTTACCCAAACAAATACGTGAATCAGATCATGCGAGCAGCATAATCTTTGCTATTAGCTTCATCACAATAAACTATTTGTGTTGAGTTGTGATGTTGTCTGTTCATTCAAATAATCTTTTTTTTTTTTTGGTAAATAATTCCAAAAAATTAATGTTACAGGCCCACAAAAATTAAGGAAAATCTTATTTGTGACAAAATCAAAGTCTAATTCGAAAGAGACGCGAACCGAGTACCACACAGGTTTGTTTTATACCCTTTTAACCCTAACCGATTTGGCTCAACACTTACCGGTCTGGTTTACCAACTTTTTTTGGGCTAGGTTAATAAGGTTAGTGACTTAATGGATAACTCATAACTGGATCTAGATCAAATCCATGTTCTCTTAGGGCCCAAATTTAAAAAACGAGCCAGGTCCAATACCATTACATTATCATTACGCTCTTACTCTCGTCGCCTATCTGTAGTGCTCACGCCGCTCAAACCCATTCCCCAAAATGAATATTTCCCTCCCACGGTACCTAATGCCGGTAACTTTCCGGCCTTCTTGTTAACCCATTGTTCCTATTTTTTGAAGATCGGGAATCTTCATTGTTCCAATTGAGCAAAGCCGCAATTTTGGTGTAACCCATAGCAGTTGGGGCCAAATTGTTGGACATTGACCTAAGCCAGAAGCCCATATTAGTGGAATGGGAAATGACAACTCAAGCAATTTCTTCAATCGTTCATCATCTTCAGAGCCTAATTTAATGTATGTACCCTGCTACAATTTCAAGATTAAATATTTCTAGTTAGTTTAGAGAATTACATGTGTTAATTGTGCTAGTTCCTATTTTTTCTTTTGATTATTTTTAAATTTTACTTTTTAGGTTTAATGCTCATTAGTTGTTCTTATTACTTTTATAAATGAAGAAGCTCTCTCAGAGAATATAATAATTGCTGAGGGTAGGTTTATACCTGTGGCCTTTTATGACAGCATTACAATAAGCTGTTGAAGAAATAGAAAAGAAAATGGTCAAGGAAGTCAAATTCACTATTTTTTCTAGAAAATACATATTACCAATTGTTGGAGCTGTGGTGTTAAAGCTGCACATGAGGCAGCAAATGAAAAGAAAGCTGCACAGGTGGCAGCAAAATGAAATGAAGGGAAAGTTGTACCAAATACGGTAGCAGCAGAGTGCAACAAGCTATGCTGCAAATGTTGATGAAATGAGGCTGTAATGAAATGTTAATGAGGCTGCAAAGTAGCAGCAAGTATAGCTACATGAAGTTGCACAAGTGGCAGCAAATGAAAGGAAATGAAGCTGCACAAGTGGCAGCAAGTCTTTTAATGTAATCTTATATTAAATGTATTAGATAAGTATGAAAATTACTGTTGATGTATTTAGATATTTCTGCTATTTAATAACAGAACATGAATGAGAAAATGAAGTTTTCACCTCACCAAAAAGGGAACTCCTGTGTGCCTCCCTTCTCCTCCAAGTCCCTTCCTTTTCATAGAAAATTTCTCCAACACCAACTGATAAATGGAGGTCAAGTTCATAATTTTCATGAAAATGTATATTGAAGACCAACTGATATTCCACGCTAAATAAAAGCGAAGCAAAGGCGCAAATTAGCATCTAAACGTAAATATTGTTTTGTATTTGTCAATTGCAATGAACCTTTTGTCAATGAAATGGTATTTTCAATGCATAAATTTGATGGAACCTACAATGGATACATGTGAAATCTCCTCCGCCAATTTCCTTTGGTTCTTGAAGACTTTTAGCGACTAGCTGGTGTCGTATCCAATACCCTAATGGTCTCAATTAATGACTTGTATAGACAGATATTCAGCTGACCGTGATTGCAAATTAACAAGGCAAACGGACCCATCTTTTCAAACTTAACGTATGTATCCTGCTACAATTTTAAGATTAAATATTTCTTGTTTTTAATTATTT